TTAGAGGAAGATAGATAGATAGTAGTAGATAGATAGAGGCATAGGGCCCCAAAGAAGAAGAAAGAAGGGAATGGTGGTGGTAAAGAGGACAACTGAAACAGAGGGTTTATGAAGCTTGGGGCAGAAAAAGGACACTGTAATCACGACTTGAGGCAATAGCAGAAGTTGTAGCACAATTTCGGACCAGGCATGTGAAGCAACTTTGAAGATAAGCAGATTTTTCGAGATAATCAGCAATTCTGAAGTAGGAAGTCAGTCGGCAGTGGCCATGCGGTGTAGTGATCCACTCGCCATGGCACCCATGATCCGGCGTCGAATCTCGCTGGGAGCTCTGATGAGGCCGGGTCATCTGATAGTGGCAGAACTCAATTAGCCGTCTTGACCAAATCTTGGCCGATCCAAGCCGACCAAATCCATGCGCGATCAACTCCTCGACCATATGAGTCAATTGGAGGGAATTCGTGAAATGGTCTTGTCGCTTTGAAGGCTTAGCAACCGATTTCAACGCATATTTTTGACTTATAAATGCATATTTTCTGTGTTTTCTCGGCCAACTCAGCTCGTGCAAAGTGACGAGAGACGCATATTTCACTTTTGTCCACAAACACTCGAGCTCGTCAACGCGAATCGACTCCCGGTCACGTGGCTCGCTTGTCACCAACTCAGCTCCAAGGCCGTGTGTTGTTGCGCTCGCCTGTCCCGGTTCGAACCCCGTCGGATCGAGGATGACACCGCCGTCCAGTCCAGACCGAAAAGCGAAGACATCAACAACTTCGGCCCGACGGCAGTCGCATTTCGGTGGACCAGCCTGAAATCGTCTTCAGCCCGAATCTCCACACGTTGTGAAGGTGCAAGACGCTCATCGCCGATCGATATGGCCTATCAAGCCGGCACGATGTGTCTGCAGCAAAGACTGCAAATGTGAATGCGAGAATGTGAAAGCAATAGACGAACGACGGCAGCGGTATCCGCGTCCAGGTTACAATGATAGTTGCACGAAGTAGCGTCCAGTTGGTGGGGGAGGTGGACTTGATGAAGAGCCCTTGGGGCGCTACAAAAGTGCTCATTTGACCCAGCCTCAAGGGCACGGGGTCTCGTAGAACTGCCGCAACCGTTGCTTTGTGCTCTTCGCCAGCCACGTCCTAGGCTCGCTGGCTCTGCAGTCTCTTTCGCCGAGTCCGCTGTCGACCCGATCGATAATGCCGGTGCTACAAATGCACCTATTTTGGAAGGTGAACCAGTTGAAAAAAAGGCGATCGATACGCTCTTGAGTTGGGACCGTCTTCTGGACGCCTGAGCCGTGCTGGCAAATGTGGCCTGAGGCATGATTGGATTGGTGGAGCAACGGACCAATGGAGCTTCCACGAGAGGCGATGAGTCATTCGACAGGCGAACTCAGCTCGGCTGTTGCGTTCACCTGCTGCGAACTCGCAATGCCTCGAAAATGGCTGACTTGGCATTTGTCACATGACAGATATCAGAGCAGGCTGTCAGGCCAGATCGTTAAAAACCGGATGTGTTGACGTGACCTGGTTTTCGCAACTTGCTCTTGGCGACACGGTGACCTTGTGGCAACTAACTGACCCTGCCTCTTCTGCCTTGGACAATTGGTGGCAATTTCCGCTCTCCGACCGCCAACACTCTCACCGAGTCACCATATTTGATACAGAATTGCAACCGATCAAAGCCACAAACGAAGGCAATCGCCCTGACCAATTTTACCACCCAATGCTGCATCCTTCTCTCCGAACCCCTCTTCATACGAAAGTGGTCCAACCTCGTTTTCGCAATTTCCTCCTGTCGTCACGGCGACCGAGTTGGATACACCTTGTCCAAGTCCTGCGCCGCAGTAGTTATCGTAATTGCCAGCATCGGACTGCGGACTCAGCACATCTCCACACACATCGTCTTGCCAAACTACACTAAACTACAACTCGTCAACGTGGCAAATGAAGTCAATCCATCGACTAACTTTACGTCGAAGCGGATGTGTTATCACTCCTCTTTCTCTCCTGGCCCATCTATCTACTCCTTTCCCTCTTATCCCACTCCCGTTCCGTCACGGTGTCCGACTTGTTTACATTCATCCTCCAAAGATGGGCCTTTTTGGCGAGCTTAAGTCGATGTCATCACATTTCCTGTTCACCTTGCACCCCCTCCCCATAGACACACAGAAGGGAGACTGCCATCAAAGAGGAGGCCACAACATCTTGGACTTCATACCTACTTCATATGGCCCATTTGCCAATTCACACCATTGCTCCGATGCCACCGAAGAGTGTGTCATTTTAGGTGGATCTCATCTTCATCTCTCTTCTTCATCACCGGTTTCAAGTGTCGTCAGCCGAGTTTCTAGGACCCAATCAACTCTACCGTTTAACTCCTCCCACCAATCCCGCCCAGCAACTGTTCCCTTTTAGGCATGAAAATCACAGTCTAACTGGATTATTAATAAGCCCTCGATCCGATCTCGTTCGCGTCATATTCAAGAACTTCCAAAATGATGATTCTCATACCTCGGCTTCTTCCCCTTCGGCTCCAGTCCAGTTGTCCTCTTTCCCGTCCTGTCTCATTCTCTGGGGCCCTGTGTCAGGAGAGGAGAGATATGAATGCATCGCCAGGACAAAACTGGTAGGAGAGAGGCTTCCATGATTAACGGTGAACTAGGTAGAGAAAAGGTGTGCCTTCGCTTGTTATTTGGATGATTTGCAACTCTGTGCTCAAGATGGCGCACTTCAGCGACGAAGCCAGCTAATCGTCTGCAGATACTGGAACTTATCATTAATATTGTGGCAGTGAACGCAGGACTTGGCACTTTCCAAAAGATATCTCTATCGCCACGGCGAAGCTTGGGGAACGAGGCAACAAAGACTACAGCTAAAGGAGACTCCGAGCATAGCCAAGGCCACATTAACTTGGTATTGTTATCTGTGTTGAGAAATTACTTACTCATACCTATATATATATATATATATATATATATAATTTTCTTAATCATAGATAGCAGGAAAAAACAAATTTCTATACTCGTCTTCATGACTTTGTCGTAAGAATGCCTCTAAAATGGTTCCACCGAAATCAACTCAGATTGTATCAAGTAACACTTTAGCCGAAAGGCTCCACAAGAGCCAAATACACGTGAAATTAGGTTGAGTGGAGCAACTAAAAATCAAGTCATTTATGAAAATAAGGATGTTCTTAGTATAGCCCTTCGACTAGTGGAGTTGGGCAGATGAAAGTAAAGACCAATTCTACCGATAGCTCTTACTTTATTGGATAGACTTTCAGTTCGTATGAAAGTGCATAAAGAAAAGATTCGAAGGCCAAACTCATCGGACGACGACGACGACTAGTTCGCGTTGTGCTGCAGCCGTTTGGCCTTACTACTACATTCATTTACGCGCAGTGCAAAACAACTGGAATCACCTTTCTTATTCTGGCGAGAACGACATCGAATCTCTTCCTCGAACACTCATACGAAAGGGAAATCTCCCTCAACAAATATCAAGAGATTAATCCAACCATAGCTACTCTTCGTGACTCTTATTTTCCCAGGACTAGCGTAAAACATAATTCGAAACCGTTGAGATTGGCACCATACTTAATTATTGTCGTCATTACATTAGGGGGATTTGTCGCAACTTTCGATCAAGATTGTTAGAGTTGAAAGCATCCATCACCGGGAAAATAATGGAGGTTACCTGCGGAACGACAAAAAGGATAGTTGGCTATTTCCGAGTGGAGAATACAAGAGCGAGACCAATAATTAGTTGTGATTGAATTCATATCACTTTTAACCTGTAAAGAAGGCTGCGTCTGGAAACAGCACATGTATAGGAAGCTGTCTAGAGAGCTGCAATCGAATCCTTAATACTTCATAGGCAGAATCAAGCTGGAGGAGTAATATTTCATCAATTGTCATCGCTTCTATATAAGTCGGAAGAATTATCATAAAATACAGGCTTTTGTTGAGCCAAAGCCATCATCCTACCGGTTGGTCCGATCGTGCAGTTCTGCTGCGACTGACGCTAGATTGGGTCCAGATATCATCTACCAATCAGTGTGGAAGGATGTTGACAAGATGATGGGGAGTTGACACAGAGGCGTTGCGTTGGAGGTAGATACACAAATTGGAGGACCTTTGATGCTGGAATGTGGGCCGCAGGACAGAAGAAGGGGAAGATTAGTAAAAGAACGTCAAAAAATGAAAAAGATGGAATGCAAAGAAAAATAAGTAAAGTGTGAGATAATGATGTGCAGCAAATGTGGAATTGAGACGTGAAAAATAAGATGAAATAATGTGAGATGAGATAAGATGAGATTAGATGAGATGAGATGATATGAAATAAGATGAGATGAGATGAGATGAGATGAGATGAGATGAGATGAGATG